TTGCTTCGACGCTGTGGCGGCGGGTCACCATCTCCTCGGCCTGCGGCGGCGCGACAAACACCCTGCGGGCCGGGGCTGGTGTCAGAGCCCGACGGCTTTCGCTTGTCGGCAGATTGTGGACGCAGGTCAGTTCAGCGGAATCGACCAGAACAGGAGGAGGAAGCGGGAAGGAGGGAAGAGGGATGAGGAGGCGGAGGAGGACCAATGTAAACCCAAGAGCCATCAACGGTGTTGGAATAACCCTCCCTCCAAGCTCCCTCTCCATTCGTGGGCCCCTACCAGGGTTCGCGGCGCTGAGGCGAGAGTCACATTTTGAAATTGATTTGCCCTCAATCCGTAAAGCTCTTGCATCTGTTCAAAAGCGAATGTGCGTGGCGCTGAGGCGAGATCCGCATTTTGAAAACCACCCGCCCTCCATCTGTGAAAATGTAGTCAATGTTTAGCTTCAGGGTCATACATGGTGAGGAAGTCTCAGGCGAAACGCCCGGACCGCTCTAAAAACTTGCCTCGGGCTGCGACAGGGAGAAGCTGATTAGAAGAAATGGAGGAGGAGGAGGAGGAGGAGGAGGAGGAAAAGGAGGAGGAGGAGGAGGAGGAGGAGGAGGAGGAGGAGGAGTTGGAGAGGGAAAAGAGGAGAGGAGCCGACATTGAGCGCCTGAGAGCCACTGTACATGATCCAGGGTTGCCCCCCCCCCCCCCCCTCGATGCATCTGGTATCGATTCCCTCCCCACCCTGCTTGCTGGGTACGCTGGTGAGCCTCGCAAAGGCCTCGCGAATCGCTCCCCCCCCCTGTGGTCGTGGCGCTGTGGGCGTGGCGTGGTGGAGGATGCCAGTGCACCCCTTCCCCCTGTGGGTGTAGGGTGGTTCGTCGTCGTCGTCGGCGGGTGTGGCGTCGTCCGTCGGCGTCGGCGGCGGCGGCATTGACGTCGGCGGCGGCGGCGGCATGGACGTCTGCGTCGGCGTCGGCGTCGGCGCCGGCGTCCCCACCCCTCACTCCCATCTGGGGGGGGGGGGGTCGTGGGACCTTGGGGCCCCTTGCCCCCGCAGTCGCGGACAGGAGTGAGGGGGCGGCGGGGTCGTCAGCAGCCTGCGAGGCTCGAAGGCACAACGTCGCAGAAGCCGCCGCAGGTGCAGATATTTTTTGTCACACTGCACGTCGAGCCCGCCGCGGGCGCCGAGTTGCAGCAGTGCGAGCGGCTCGCGGGGGGGTCGCGGAGGGGTCGCGGGCGGGTCGGGGGCGAGGCAGGCACGCAACAAAGGATTGTGTGGGATCGCTTGGCCCGCACGAAGCTCACCACGATGCGTCGCTGACAGCTTATGGGACAACGCTGGCCACCGTGGCCCTTGCGGGGGGGAGGCGCCAGGCGAGACCGGCGTGGGCCGACCTTCGGAGAGAGGCAAGAGGGAGGACGAGGAGCGAATGAGGGATGGGCAGGGGGACAGAGGACGAGGGTGGCGGAGCGGGGTGGGGGGAAGAGAGACGAGACGGGAGCATGGGAAGAGACAGGAGGAGGAGGAGGAGAAGGAGGAGGAGGTGGACGGACGAGGTGGAGGAGGCGGATGTGGCCGAGATACACTGGCAGGTCTCTCGACGATCTGGAGGGGGACGGGGAGAGAGAGATCACGGCGTTCGACGCCTGCGGGCTGGCGTACATCCTTGTGCTGTCCATGGGTCAGGCTCTTCGTCTTCCTCGCCGTCGTCCTCGTCCTCTTCGTCCTCCTCCTACTCCGCTTGCGCGATCAGCAGGGATCGAAGGTCTCGACGTGCTTGGCCTTTCGGGGGGCAGTCCTGATCACTTCCGGAGACCTCCTCATGCCCAATTTGTCCATCCGTTTTATCATGCTTCTCCGCCTCGCCATGTCTCTTTTTTCATCTCTCTCTCTCTCTCTCTTCATCCGTAGTACCATTCTTCTCTGTCTCTCCATCTCGTTCTCTCTCTCTCTGGCCCCTCTCTTATCCCATCTCCTCTCCCTCTCGCTCTCTCTCCCCCCTTCTCGCTCCAATCTCAGACAGATGTGCTATATCATCCACTCGTCACTTGCCTTCGCCCTTGCCACTGTCGTCGCACTTCTCTTTCTCATCATTGCGCTCCTCCTCCTCCGCCTCCTCGTCCTCAGTCTCGTTCACATCCCCATCCTCCTTCCTCGTTTCCCCCCCTCATCCCTCCTCCCACCTCCCCCCTCCTTTTCCGTTCTTCGCCCCCTCACTCCTCCCCCTTCTCCCTTCTTCCTTTTACTTCCTCTCCTCATGTTGGTCGTCGTCGTCGTCGGCGCCGCCGTCGTCGTCATCGTCGCCATCGCCGTCGTCGCTGCAGTCTTCGCCGTCGTCGTAGTCGGCGTCGTCCTCGCCGCTTTCTTCGTCGTGCTCGGCGTTGCCGTCGCCGCTGCCGTCGTTGCCGTTGCTGTCGTCGTCGTTGCCTCCGCCGTCTTCGTCGTCCTTGTCGTCGTCGTCGTCGCCGCCGCCGTCGTTGACGTCGCCGCCGCCGTCGGCGTCGGCGTCGTGGTCGTGGTCGTTGTCGCCCTCGTCGCCGCCATTGTCGGCGTCGTCGTCGGCGTCGTCGTCGTCGGCGTCGGCGTTGTCGGCGGCGTCGGCGTCGGCTTCGTAGTCGGTGTCGTCCGTCGGCGTCGGCGTCGTTGTCGTCATGGTGGTCGTCGTGGCGGCGGCCACGGCCAGGTGCTGTTCAGTGCGCTGGCGGGGGTCATGGCCGAGACGCTGGGCTGGCTGGCGGAGCTCCTCTGGTGGCCGCCGGCACTCGTGCTCCCGGAGCGGCCTCCCTCGGGCGAAGGGGGTGGGGCCGGCGGGGTGTCCGAAGCCACGACAACGACTGCCACGATCGGGTTGGCCCAAAAGGGGGTCCAGCGACAAGGGGATGGTGCAATAGATTTGGTGCAATAGATTTGTGGGGTTGCAATAAAATTTGGGCGTGCAGTACATTTCGGGGCATAAATGTGTTGCCGCATTTTCTCGTGCAATGCATTACTTGCAATACAATGCAACACAGTTCTCCGGCGCAATGCATCTGCAATACAATTGCCCCAAATCTATTGCACCACCCCCTGTCAGCTGGACCCCCTCTTCGGTCACCCAAAGACGAGCGCGAGGGTCCCAACTCTCCGACGACATCTCTCGGCGGCGAGCGAGGGCTCAGTGGGCCCTGGAAGCGGCGGGGCATTTTTTTTGTATTGGTTCCATTTTGCCGGTTCGGTCTCCGTTTTTGTTGCCGGTTCCGTCGCCGTTTGTTTCTGGTTCCGGTTCACGCTCCAATGTCTGAGCCGTTTTTTTGACGTTTCCGGTCGCCTTCTCTTTTTCTGTTTACATTTTCAAGAAGCATTTTGCGAAAACGGTGAGCAAATCGCTGTTTTTTCCGGGCGGGGCCCACTAACAGCGAGGGGGGGAAGTTAGAAGGGGCAGGCCTTTACAGAAGGCTCGGAAGCCCCTCCGGCCTTCCAGCTTTCTGAGTAAGTGTCCTAAGCCTTCCCCGAAGACACCGAAGACTTCTCAGAAGGCGCGAGGGCCTCTGAGAAGTCCCGCCGCCTTCTAAGAAGACCTTCTCTTCCTCATTGCTCCCCCTCTCGCTCGCCACCGATCGTTAGCACATCATGGGGGCCTTGTGTCCCCTTTGTAAGTCCGACTCGAGCGCAGCAGCGTCGATTAGCGCCTGGTACTGGATGAGGTAGCGCCGATGTGGCGTCGGTTCACGTCGACTGGCGTCGATTCGCGTCGGCCCGGCGTCGGTTTGGTAATCGATCAGCGTCGACCAGCGCCGATGAGCGCCGATTCTCAAGGGCCAACAAGATGGTATGGGAGACTCCCATAAGCCGCCACCGAACGACATGTTCTTTTCAATCCTGGCGTTTTTCCTCGATTCGGCCACCGAGGCCTCCATGATCGGGCCCCAGGGCCAGCAGACATGGACCAAGGGCGCAGAACTACACAATGGGGTCCGGACCTCTTTGGGCCGCGCACTGGAGAAAACACATGAGGCTCTCCAGAAAGGGTCTCGCCTGCGAGGGCCGAAGGATCTGCCCGCGGCGGAAGGTGGCGGACAGCGCGCAGAAGGCGGCGGACGCAAAGCCAGGCCGTCTCAGCCGGCGGGAGCTGGCGGAAGGCCGGCGGGAGCCAGCGGAAGGAAAGGGTGCGCTCCCAAGAGCTGTTTTTGTCGACGCATGTGCTTCGGAACGCCACGTGCCACCCGCTTCAGGTGTGACCCGCCCATGAGAGCGGCGCTTGCTCCCTCTCTCCTCCTTCGGCCGCCCTCCATGTCTCCTCCAATTTTCTTGCGCTGTGGCGCAATTCGTGTCAACGGCATCCCCGTTGGCCTTGCTCCTCCGCCAGCGCAGCTACTCTGCCTGGCCGCCGACGCAAGAAGACATTTTCCGGAACGGCCCACATCGTCGGATATCTGGGACCGTTCGCTCGCGGCAACCCCTTTCTCGGAGGAGGAGGAGGAGAAGGAGGAGGAGGAGGAGGAATAAGAGGAGGAGGAGGAGGAGAAGGAGAAGGAGGAGGAGGAGGAGGAGGAGGAGGAGGAGGAGGAGGAGGATGGGAGGGAGGAAGAGGAACAGGAGAGGAGGAGGAGGAGGAGGAGGAGGAGTATGAGGAGGAGGAGAGGAGGAGGAGGGAGGAGGAGGAGGAGGAGAAGAAGAAGAAGAATACTAAGAAGAAGAAGGAGAAGAAGAATAATAATAATAAGAAGAAGAAGAATAAGAAGAAGAAGAAGGAGGAGGGAGGAGGAGGAGGAGGAGGGAGGAGGAGGAGGAGGAGGAGGAGGGAGGGGGGGGAAGAGGAGGAAGAGGTGGAGGATACCGACTGCCTGAAGGACCTCCCAATGCCCGCATCACGATTACAATATCGAATTGGATCTTAAGCAGAGCTCTACCCCCGCCGTTCACTTCGCGGCAACGCAAGCTGCCCCTCCCCACCGAGTGAACGGGAGGGCCCCCGACGGCCCTCTCACAGGCACCCCGCCTTGACGAAGTAGGTATCGTAGAACTTGAAAGGCGGCACGGCGCACAGCGAGAATACCCAGGGACCGACTGGCGCAGCACGCAACTCACGTACTGCCCCTTCCAGGATTCACTCGTCGTCGGCTACCATCGCTCCCAGCTGCTCGAGCAAGCGCTGGATGTCCCTCTCGAGGCCCCCTTTCGGCGCCTGCCCGTACATCTGGCGGCCACCGGAGAGTTGGCCAGCCCGCAAGATGCCTTTGACCACAGGCTCCACGGAAGCGTGCGCAGCGAGATGAAGCTTGACCTTATTCTTGTCGAACGCCCTGGCGTCTTCGCGTGGTAGATGATGTCCTTCAGCTGCCCCGGGTCCGTCACCTGCTGGCGGTGGTTGATGATCGCGTTCTTGTGGGCCTCTTCGAGGCCCTCGACGGTGGCCGCCGCACGGGTGATAGCTGCCCACATGTACACAGCTGGAGGGTGCTCAGGCTGCATCTCTTTGGCGCTGTCGGTGTAAGCCTTCAAGGCCTTCAGGGCAGCTTCTGCGATCACGTTGTCGCGCTCGAACATGGTCGTCTTGAACAGGGTGGCTTCAACTGCGCGCATGTCCTGGGCGTTCTTCAAGCCAAGCTTCGCAACGAGTAGCAAGAGCTTCTCGATGTTCTTCGAGTGCGGATTGCCCCCCACTGCCACGGCGCGACGCTTTGCGCCCGCGGCAGGGGCTCCCTCGCCAGCGGCGCCGAGCTGCCAGGCGTCCATCCCGGTACGGGGGTGTCGGAGAATGGGCAGCAGACCAAAAAAGGCACGAGTTTGACCCACCTCGCACCTGCAGAAACGATGCCACGATCGCACTCCCGGACAAAAAGGACGAGATCGTCGTAACGGCAGCGTCGGTGTCGTAACCGCGGCGGCGTCGGATTCGTGAACGGCGGCGGCGGTGTCGTAACGGCGGCGTCGGCGGTGTCACTGTCGTAACGGCGGCGGCGCGGCGGCGTCGGTGTCGTAACGGCGGCGTCGGTGTCGTAATGGCGGCGCCGGCGGCGTCGGCATGATACCAATGATGAGGATGGACATGAAGAGCAATCGCAGCTAGGCAACCTTGCGAATCATCAGTCAGGAACGTCAATGAACGGCTCAGCAAGGTGATTGGTACAATGTGTGTGGTCCTCGTCCATTGACTTGGCTTCGAGCTCGCAACAGGGACACGACAGGTCGACGGGCACTGCGGCATCGATCGGCGAAACGTTGCGATACCCACTACACTTGGGTACCTGCACTGCTCGAGCAACATGTCGGCGAGCAACGCGCACGCTGCTGAACGACACGCGGCAGTACGGGCACTGGTTGGTGATGATGAGTTTGTTGACAAGTTTCTGCTCATGGTGCGCATGGCGTTTATGCAAAAGCAGACTAGCCATACTGGAGAATGTACAACCGCACACCGCACGCGAAGATAGTACAACGTCGCACGCGTGCGGCTCATCCACAGGAGGAGCGGGCACAACCGCAGGTGGCGCCCACATCGGCGGCGGGACCGCCACAGAAAGAACAGCGGCACGTAGCACAAGAAAATCGCATTGCAGAAAATCCCCACGCAGAGGCTCTTGAAACAATAGTAAAGGTCGCCGATCACATTCCTCAGCAATGAAAGCTGTGCTATCATGGTCACGTAAGCTGTCCAGATCGTCCATGAACTGCTGGAGCTAAGGATGAGCATTCGCACGAGGTCGCCCATCGTCTCCCAACGGGCTCCTGGACTCGCAACCCAAAGGCGAAAACAAGGCAGCAGTATAGGTGACGTGATCCCAAGGTTCCGAAATCACCCGCTTCCAGAATTTAAGACGTCGTAGTCGAAGCTCCGTCTTGGTATCAGCGAATCGAAGCGCTCGCCAGGCATCTTGATTTGGCAGTGCCTTGTACTTGATGGTGCCGTCAGCTTGCTCCACCTTCGTGCACGCTTTTCCTCGCATAAGCTTGCGGGCCAAATTGAGAATGAGGGTGTCGAAATCGTGAAACTCAGGCTTTGATAGCACATACGCGTCCATGCCAGACCAGAGAGTCTCCACGAGTTGGCCGCGAAAAACTGTACGACTCGAGCGGAACGACACGGGTGACGACCAGTATCTTTGAAATGCATTCCAGGCTTCACGAGCAGCTTGCAAGCGACGGAGACGTTCAGGACGGATCGAACCAGTGTAGTGCGACTTGCCTCCGATATATTTGGCTTGAGGAGCAACGTTACTAGGTAGGGCGGTGCGTCCATGAGCGGAGGAGGAGGAGGAGGAGGAGGAGGAGCAGAAGGGAGGAGGAGGAGGAGGAGAAGGAGGAAGAGGAGGAGGAGGAGGAGGCGGAAGGGCGGAGGAGGCGGACAGGAGAGGAGGAGAGGTGGAGGAGGAGGAGGATGAGGAAGGAGGAGGAGGAGAGGAGAAGGAAGAGGACGGATGAGAGGAGGAGGAAGAGGAGAAACTAGCGGAAGATGAGGAGTATGAGGACGAGGAAGAAAGAGGAGAAGGAGTAGGAGGAGGACGGGATGCTGATGCTGGATGATGATGAATGGATGAAAATGAGATGATGATGATGAGATGATGATGATGAGATGATGATGATGATGATGATGAATGATGATGATGCGGAGGCCGGAGGTGGAGGAGGAGGAGGAGGAAAGGAAGGAGGAGGTAGGAAAGGGAGGAGGAGGAGAGGAGGAGAGAGGAAGAGGAATAAGGAGGAGGAGGGAAGGACGAGGAGGAGGAGAATGAGGAGAGGGGTAGTACGATGAAGATGTGAAGGAGTATGAGGCGGAAGAGAAAGGAGAGGAGGAGGAGGTGCAGGATGAGTGGAGGAGGAAGGAAGAGGAAGAGGAAGGAGGAACGAGGAGGATGAGGAGGAGGATGAGGATGATGATGATGAGGACAGAGGAAGAGAGGAGGAGAGGAAGAATAAATGAATAGGGAAAGAGGAGGAGGAGGAAGAGGATGAGGGGGAGGATGAAGAGGAGGAGGAGGAGAAGGAGGAGAGGCGGAATAAGCGGGAGAACGATGCAAGGAGGAGGGAAGGAACACACATATGAAGAGGAGGAGGGGGGATGAAGATGGAGGAAGGAAGAAGGAATAGGAAGAGGAGAAAGAGAGGAGGAGTAGGAAGAGGATGATGCTGATGATGATGATGATGATGATGATGATGATGAGAGGGGGAGGAGTAGAGGAGTGAGGAGGAGGAGAGGGTGGAGGGGTAAGATGAGGAAGGAGGAGAGAGGGATAAGAAAAGGAAGAGGATTGAGGACAGGGAGCAGGGAGCAGGAGGGATGATGATGATGAGGAGAAGGAGGAGGAGGATGAGGAAGCGGAAGAGGAGGAGGAGGGAGGAAAAGGAGGAAGAGGTATAGGGGGGGAGGAGGGAGGAAGAGAAGGAGGAAGGGGGGTAAAAGGTGGAGGAGGAGGACGAGGGAGGAGGAGGAGGAGATGGAGGATGACGAAGCGGAGGAGGAGGATGGAAGCAGAGGAAGAGGATGAGGAGGGAGGAGGAGGGAGGATGAGAAGGATGAGGAGGAGGATGAAGATCAGGAGGACTACGATGACCTGGAGGAGAGGGCGGAGGAGGAGGAGGAGGAGGAGGAGGAGGAGGCGGAGGATGAGGATGAAGAAGTGGAGGCGGAGGAGGGATGTCGTAGACGAGGAACGAGGAGGAGGCTGAAAGAGGAGGAGGAGGAGGACTGGAGGAGGAGGAGACGAGGGAGGAGGAGGTGGAGGCTGATTGACGATGATATGATGAGAGGAGGATGATACTGAGGGAGGAGGAGGAGGAGGGACGAGGACGAGGATGAGAACGAGGGAGGCGGAGGAGGAGGAGGATAACATAAGTAGAATGAGGAGGAGGAGGATGCGGAGGAGGAGTAGGAGGAGGAGTATCAGGGAGGAGGTCGATGAGGACGAGTAGTTGAATGAGGAGGGGGAGAACGGAGGAGGATGAGGAGGAGGAGGAGGAGGAGGAGAAGAGGAGGAGGAGGGAGCGCAGGGCGAAGGAGGATGAGAAGAAGGAAGAGGAGGCACGAGGAGGAGGAGGAGGAGGCGGAGGAGGAGGAGGAGGAGGAGGAGGCGGAGGAATACGAGGAAGAGGAAGAGTCTGATGAGGATGAGACGGAAGACGACTATGAGGAGCAGACGGATGAGGAGCAGGAGGAGGAGGAGGAGGAGGAGGAGGAGGAGGAGGAGAGGGAATAGGAAGTGGGGGGGAAGACGATGACAAGGAAGATGAGGAGGAGGACGCGGATGATGATGATGATGATGATGATGATGCTGATGATGATGATGATGATGATGATGATGATGATGATGACGATGATGATGATGATGATGATGCTGACGATGATGATGAGGATGATGATGATGATGATGTTGATGTCGATGATGATGATGATGATGATGCTGATGATGATGATGATGATGATGATGAGGATGAGGATGAGGATGAGGATGAGGATGAGGATGCGGATGATGATGATGCTGGTGATGATGCTGATGATGGTGATGGTGATGATGATGATGATGATGATGATGATGATGATGATGATGATGATGATGGTGATGATGATGCTGATGATGATGATGTTGATGATGATGATGATGATGATGATGCTGATGATGCTGATGCTGATGAGGAGGAGGATGAGGAGGAGAGGGATAAGGAAGAGGAGGATGCGGATGAGGGGGTGGGGGGCGGAGGATGAGGAGGAGAAGGTGGAGGACGAGGACGAGGAAGCTGAAGAAGAGGAGGAAGAGGAGGAGGAGGAGGGGGAGGGAGAAGAGGCGGATGTGGAGGACGAGGAGGATGAGGAGGAGGATGAGGAGTCTCAGGGAGGAGGCCGATGAGGGGGAGTAGTTGGGTGAGGAGGGGGAGAACGGAGGAGGCGGGGGAGGAGGAGGAGGAAGAGGAGGAGGAGGAGGAGGAGGAGGAGGAGGAGGAGGATGAGGATGAGGAGGTGGAGGGGGGGGATGAGGAGAACGACGAGGAGGTGGAGGAGGAGTAGGAGGAGGAGGCTGAGGAGCAAAACCAGGAGGACGAGGGCGGAAGACGACGAGGATGAGGAGGCAAGAAGAGGAAGAGGAGGAGGCTGAGGATGAGGAGGAGGAGGAGAAGGAAGAGTTGTTTTTCAACATCAACCGCAGAGGAGGTGAACGCCGCCAGGATGAAACAGCAATCGCAGGGGACCAGGGCGGTGGCCAACGCAGACGAAAGGGCACCCCGAGGACCGACGGCTCAGTCGGAGTCACCAGACTCCACTGACCTTGCACGAGCAGCTCCAGAGGTAGACGGGGCCTCATCCACCGAAAGGAGCAGCTCGTCAGGCTCCTCCAACCCCTCCGCGTTGGGAGGGGTGGAGGAGAAAGAAGAATGTCCCAGGACACCAGGCGGCCCAGCCCGTCCCGCCCCCCTCCCGTCACAAACACGATCCGACGGCGGGACGACCGTGGTGGGGGGCGGCGCGGGCGCCTGGTGGTTGGCCACGTTGTCGTGGCCGACAGATGGCTCAGATGACGCGTCATCGAGGCCAGTGGAGAGCGGCACTCCGCTTTTGGGGTGTCGTCCTTTCATAATCACATTCCAAGCGTGCATACGGCCATGATCTGACTTGTTCTGCTTCCTGACTTGGCCTCCGCACGTGTAATATCAACATCGGGTGCAGGCACCTAGGATGCCTCCACCCTGGTTCACATCAAAGAATACAGGTCTGCGCCCATGGCCGATCACGCCCTGCCCAGTAAGGCCTTTGATCGTGGCCGCGCCACGACACCGCCCAGGGGGGGCTTCTGAGGGCCACGAGCACCACGAAAACACGCGGCACACATCCAACACTTGCAGACGGAGGATGGGGATGCTGGGGTGGAGGAGGAGGAGGAGGAGGAGGAGGCGGAGGTGGAGGGAAGAGGAGGAAGCGGAAGATGGGGCGG